AGTTTCATGGATGCCTGCTACCCGCCTGTAAACACTCACCAATGTCCCCAACAGCCATGCTTTCATCCAGTAGCCCTGCTGCTCTGACTGGCTGGGTTTGAGGTTTCTCAAGGGTGACAGACACTGTACAGTAGCACACACCCACTACTTACGGTGTTCCGAGTTTTAGCTTGCACAAATTTCTGAGTGGAGTGATGAAATCTCGCACCGGATCCACGCTGTATCTGCTACCCACCGGCTGGTCATGCAGCAGCCGGCTCAGTTATCAGATCCACTGCAGGGGGGGTGGGAGGGGGAGCTCATGCTCCTCTTGAGTTCTTTCTGCTTGGATGGCCCAAGTACAATAAGGATGCTGGCCAGAAGGTGAAAGTCCTTGACTGAATAAGGAAAGAGAAGAAGTCCTATGCCGAGGTTGCCAAGATCTACAGTAAGAACGAGTCGTCTATCCGTGAAATCGTGAAGAAGGAGAAGGAAATCCGCGCGAGCTTCGCCGTGGCCCCTGAGAACGCCAAGGTCACAGCCACAGTGCGAGACAAGCGCCTGGTGAAGATGGAAAAGGAGCTTAGTGTGTGGGTGGAAGACATGAAGAGGAGGCGCGTGGCGATCCATGGCAGCGTGCTGCGGCAGGGGTCCCCCCCACCCCCTGTTCACCGAGAGTAAGGTCACGAGCTGTCTGAGACCACAGGCACCTAGCTTTGTTACAGTGCGATACAGTTACTCGGCCTTCCTACAAGTTACTGTTGCTGTCCGTAATTTGTAAACTGTGTCCCAGGCCTGTGCAGGCAGCGGACCCTCCGCAGCTGGTTAAGGCTGCAACGTATCATTCTAATTAAACAGCTCCCAAATGTCAATGCAATGCAAGTGAAAACAACAACAACAACAACAACAACAAAACCTCCCAAAGTTGCTCGTAAGGAATTGGTCGACAAAGGCGAACCCCCGCCAGACCCATGCTCTGTGTGCGAGACCGTGGGTCGCATAATAAACACACAAGCCTCCTGTCCTCAGCAGGAGCTCTCAATTTTCCCCTTCGGGAGCGAAATCCAACGTTTCCAGGAATTTTTTTTAATGGGTGTGGCCTATGCTGGAAAGGAGACCCAGGGCGCCGATCCCCGACCCAAAGGACGCGTTTTGTATTTTTTTTTATTTTTTTTTTTTTGGACCTGCATCAAAGGCCGGGCAGTTCGGAAAGTTTTCTCTCCCGAGCCCACAAAGAGGCCGGGGCCGCGGGGAGCCGTGCGGCCGCCACCTAGCGAGCGGCGGCTGCGGGGGCAGGGGCGGCGGCGGCGAGGTTCAGGTGCGTTAGCGTCAAGGCTTTGCAAACTTCTGCTGCCGGCCAACTGTGCAGGGCTCGTGGTCCGCCGAGATTCCCGGGCTGAAGAAGAACCAGCACCTGGGCGGGCGGGGCCGAGGCTCGGGTTAAATCCCTTCGCGGTTCCCAGAACAAAACGGGGCGCCAGGGTGGGGTGGGGTGGTGGTCTGCAAGTCCGGCCTTTTGCGCCCACTTGGCTTTTTCTTTCCAGACGTCGAGTGGCAGGCGGCAGGGTGGGCCAAGCCTGGGGAGGGAGAAAACCGACCCGGGAGCCCCCTCCCCTAGCCTGTCCCGGCTGGCGGCTTCCGAAGCTAGCTTTGGGGACACCCACAGGAGTTCTTTGTGTCCCGCAGGGTGGTGCAGGGCGGAGGGCGATGGACTGGCCCGGGGATTCCCGGCCTTTGCCGCGTCCCCAGCTCGCCAATGTGCAGGGAATTTCGGGTGCCACAGTCCAGCGGGGGACTTGGAGCGCCGCCGAGGCCGGCTGGAGCCACCACCCGTCTCCATTTCCGCTCCTTCGCCCCCCCCCCCCCCAGCTCCCCTCCCCCACCCGGGCGGCCGCGCAGGCCCCAGGTGCAGCCATGTTCTTGCTCCCACCACCCGCGCCTCCATTGACAGTCCTCGCCGGAGAGGGCCGGGCGCCGCGCTAGCCTCGTCCTCCTGCTCCGGGCTCGGCGGCGCGCGGCTTCCTGGGAGTTGTAGTCCCCCGTCCCCGCCGCCGCGTTGGTGGGGAACCAATCAGGAACTACAACTCCCGCTGGGCGGTGCTGCGGGTGCGCACGCGCAGCGCGCCTTCGAGGAACAAAAAAAAAAAAAAAAAAAAGAGGAGGAGGGTGAGAGCGAAGCTCGGAGAGCAGAGAAAAAGGGGCCCACTGGTCGCCCCCCCGCCTCCCCGCACGCGCTCTCTAGCTGCGGCCGCCCGCCTGCCGCGGTCACCCCGGCCTCTCTCAGGGTTCCCCCGCGATCGGATCCAGGCGCTGCGCGAGGCCCTGCCGGGGCGGCCATGCGGCGGTGACAGGAGCGCGGCCGAGACGCAGCGGCCCCTCGCCCCCTCGCCGCCCGCCAGCTCGCCACAGCCGAGGCTGCTCCCCGGCGGCCCTCACTCGCTTCCCTTCGCACCCCCGGCCCCGGCGCTGCCTGGAGGCGGCTGCACTCGGGTGAGTCCCTTTGGTCTCAGCTCCCACTCCCGCCCCCAGCCCCGTCCTGCGGCCCCCGCCGCGGGTGCCATGGCGAGCTAGGCCTTTTATTCCAGACTCTGCCCCGCCGAGGGCCTGCGCAGGCAGCAGTCGGGGTGCTGCGGCCGGGCTTTTGAGGGGCGCCCTGCTCCCCCCCTCCCCCGCCGGCCCCGGTCGCGGGGGCGCGAGGCGGTGGGGGTGGGGCGGACGCGGTCGCGGGGGACGGCGGTTGCACGCGCGCGCCTGGGTGCGCGTGGGGGAGGGGCGCGCGCGCGCTCGCGCCGGCCGGCGTGTGGTGTATGAGTGGGGGCTGGGGGGAGGGGCGCACCGCCTGGCGTGTGCGGCCGCGCCGGCCTCCGGCGCGCTGATTGGCCGGCCGGGCGGAGCGGGGGCGCGCGTCGTGCCAGGCCCGAGCCGTGGGGTCGCGCTCGGCTGGTGTATCCGGGGCTCCTGCGCCGGGGCAGCAGACGCGCGCGATTGGCCCGCGGGCGCGGGGGCGGGGCCGCGCTGCCTTGGTAACCGCGCGGGGGGGCGGGGTGCCGGCGCCGCCCCCCGGCCGGCTCCCAGGTGGAGCCCGTCGTGGGCTTTGTCCCGGGCCGGCCTGGCGCGCCCATCCCCGCGGGGCCTGGGCTTTGGGGCTGGGGGAAATAAGACACAATGAGCGGAAGAGAAAACCTCGGCCTTGAGGCCATGCACGCCTGCAGGACGGGGCGGGGGCGGCTCGGGCCCTGTCTGGCCTGCCCGCCTCCGGTTCTGAGCCCCTCTCGCTGGGGGTTCGGCGCTGGTCTGCGGCTGGGTGTGTTCCGAGGGCGAGGCTCTGGCCGGCGGGTGGCCTGTTGCCCCTCGCGGCCGTGCAGGAGGCCTGTACTGCGCGGGCCGCCTCGGGGCTCGGCCACCCCGTGGAGGGGGTGGGTGGGCTCGGCTCACGCCGTCCGTGGGCTTATGGAGCTCTTTCCTTGCCTTGCTCGTGTGGTCTGGTTGGAGGTGGCCGGTCGTCCTCGGTGCGCCTGGCACTTGTTGCCCTCCTCGGAGTCACCAGGCGTGCGCGCGTGCAGCCTCTGCGGTGCAGTGGGCAGGGCCCCGAACTTCTGAGCGGCGTCCTCGGGACCGGCCCGTGCGTCTGTTTTTCCGTGGTAGCCCGGCTGCGGTGGGGAAGGAGGCACGAGCCGGGGGACGCTGGGTGCGTAGCTTCTGCTTCCCGAACAGCGCATCATGGGGCAGCACAGTGGGCTGGGCCGCACCCCAGGTTCTGATCCCGTGGGGCTGGGGCCTAGGAATCCGCATTTCTGGTTGTGAGGGTAGCTTTTCTTTTCATATGAGAAGTGGGTTTTAGGGGGCAGAGTCTGCACCCCAGCTGGTACCCTTGGCTGCAGCTCGGTGGATGGCATATTTATAGCCATTGGCAGTGGTAGGAAATTCAGGGATGTGTAAAGTTTGCTTTTCGTTGCTTTGAAACGACGTTAAATAGGACGACTGCTGCTGTCGTCGGCTTGCGAGGGAAGGCTCTTTGGGCTAGCCACGATTACAAATTTAGAAGTTAAATCTGAGGTTTAAAAAAGCATCCTGGAGTAAGTGCAGACTAAAACTAGAAATCTAGTCTGGGGGCTGGCGCTGTGGCTCGGAAGGTTAAGCCTCAGCCTGCAGCCCCGGTATCTCTTATGGGCCCCGGTTTGAGCCCTGGCTACTCCCCTTACGATCCACCTTTCTACTAGTGCGCCTGGGAAAGCTGTGGAAGATGGCCCACGTGGGAGACCCAGAAGAAGCTCCTGGCTCCAGCCTGGTCCAGTTCCAGCCAATTTGGAAGTGAACCAACAGATGAAAGATCTCCCTCTGTGTCTCTCCTTCTCTCTGTTTCTCTGCTTTTTAAATAAATAAATAGATTAAAAAAAAAACTAGCCTTGTCTTTTTTTCCCTCCCACTCTGGTTCAATCTTATTTAATTAATTCACTAGGCCAACAGGCCATTTGCCATGTTCTCTCTTAGCGATGCCTGAAGCATCACATACGCAACGTAGAGGCCAGGGTTTGGGAAATAGGGCGGGGTACTTGGTACTTGGGCCTGGAGATAGGTTTGGTCAGGTGGGGCGTTCAGAGGCAGCACCACGGCCATGTGTGCCCCCGACGACTTGACTTCCTTTGCTGCAAAGGCTTTGCATGAAAACATAGCCCTTGGACGTTATTTTCTGTGGGACAAGCCTTAGAACTATTTTTAAATTTTTTATTATAATGGATTTTTATTCTGGGGAAAATAATGTAATTAGGTAGGAAGAATGAGGCTACTTTGTACAATTATGTTCTATCATTAGAAGTTTGTTTTTTGTTTTGTTTGAAAGACAGAAAGATGAGAGACAGATCTTGCGTGTGCAGAATCACTCTCCAGAGGCCACAGCAGCCAGGGCTGGAGGCAGGCGGAAGCAGGGAGCCAGGAGCTCAGTCCGGGCTCCCCGCCTGGGTGGCAGGGGCCCAGGCCCTTGAGCCAGCATTGCTGGCCCCCAGATGTTCATTACCAGGAGCCTGTGGTCGGCATTGGGGGTGGAGCAGAGCCCGGTCCTCTAACCCATGCACTCTGATGGGATGTGGGCGTCCCAAGCAGCATTTCAGCTGCCACGCCATAGTGCCCCCCCATCTTCTCCACTTCTGCTGATCCATATTGCATTATGTGTTCCAAAACAAAAAGTACAGAAGACAAGACCTCTGTTCTGTGGGTGTACCCGGAGCTGAAGTAAAGCACTAAAGAAAATGAATGTTTAGCCTTTCTCGCACCTGGTCACCACTGTCTGCATTGCCTTCCCCCTAATTCGTTTCTACTGTTTGTGTCATTCTTTATTGGAAAATTTCTTTAGTTTGAGTTCAGTTTATTTGAAAGGGCAGAGATGGAGGTCTTCCATCCACTTGTTCGTTTGCCCAGAATAGCCAGGGGTGGGCCAGCCTGAAGCCAGGAGCTGGAACTCCCATCAGGGTCTCATTTAGGGTGGCTCTGCAGGGAGCTAGAATGGAAGTGGAGATGGGGACTGAACCCAGGCACTGGGGTGTGGGATGCTGGTGTCTTAACTGCTTGGCTAAATGCCTACTGTCTCTGCAAGATTACTTCTTTGTTTGAAAGGCAGTGAGCCAGGTTTCTATTCAGTGTGTTCCTCCAAAGGGCCAGATCTGGTCTAGGCTGACGGCAGAAGCCCCAGATGCCATCTGGGCTCCAGATGGGTGGCAGGTGCCCAAGCACTTTTGCTTCTGTTGGCTTTCCCAGGCCTTTAGCAGGAGCTGGATCGGAAACAGAGCAGCTGTGACTTGAAGCCATTGCCACATGGGATCCCAGCATTTGCAGGTGGCAGCATTACCTGCTAATGCCACAGCGCGGACCCCAGAAAAACATTTTTTTTAAGGATTTTTTTTTTTATGTCATTTGAAAGAGTGAGAGAGGGAAGGAGAGAAAAAGATCTAATGTCTGCTGGTTCACTCCCTAAATGTCTGTAAACAGCTAGGGCTGTCCAGGCAGAAGCCAGGGACCTGGACTCCGTCTTGGTCTCCCTTGGTGGCGATGGGCCCGAGTAGGTGGGCTATCTTGTGTCCCAGGCACAGCAGCAGGAAGCTGGATAGGCAGTGGAGCGGAGGTGTAAAATGGCAGGATAGTGATATAATGAAAATCCTCTGGCAACCCAAGTGCAGACGAGGCGCCCGCACTGGAGGAATACAGCGCAGTTAGTAGTTGAGAGGATGGGGTGTACTGTAGGGCTTATTGAGTATCAGGAGTGTAGTTATCTTGGGATTCTTGTCTGCCCTTCTGTTTGTTCTCCTTATCTGTCCTTTACTAGGAACTCTCAACACTAGTTCTCCTTTTTTTCCTCTCTGTTCCTGCCGCCTTTATCTTCGTGGTCTGCGCTGGTTTTCTGGCACTGCTTTTATTCACCTCTTTTTACCACTTGGCCTGGTAAGAAAGAAGGGAAAAGTCGATTTGGCCAGACATCCGTTGGAGGTGAGAGAGCGTTGGCATCCTTCTGTTCCTGATTAAAAACCATGTAAGGATTTTTACAGAATATTCTATTTAAAAGACGTTCATTGTAAGACCCAAAGAACATTTAAAAAGGAGAGAGGGTTTATTTCTCAGTGGAGGTAGGCGCAGGTTCTGAAAGCAGAGGTGCCTGGGTTCCTATCCTGGCTGTGGCCTCAGGCAGTTCTTTCTTCTCTTTTTTTTTCTTTTATATTTATTTATTTGAAAGGCAGAGAGAGAGAGAGGTCTTCCATCTGCTAGTTCACTCTCCAAATGACCACAACAGCCAGAGCCATGCCAATCTGAAGCCAGGATCCAGGAGTTTCTTCTGGGCTTCTGGGCCTCCCACGCGGGTGCAGGGGCCCAAGGACTTGGGCCATCTTCTACTGCTTTCCCAGGCCACAGCAGAGAGCTGGATCAGAAGTGGAGCAGCTGGAACTTGAACTGGAGCCCATATGGGATGCCAGCACTGCAGGTGGCAGCTTTACCTGCTACGCCACAGCACCCGGCCCCCAAATATATCTTATAATTTTTCTGAGGAAGTAAAAATGAATCAGTAAAAATAGCCAGCAAGACTGGCTGCTGTGTTAGTCTCCAGTCTCTGAAGACTAAAAACTGAGATGGCAAGAATTTAATAGGATTTTTCTTACAGTGTGGCAAAGGAAATGATTTTATAAACAGTGTTGGATATGATTGTGTCATGACTAACTGGAGAAAACAGTATCTGGTTCAGTTGGGCCCTGGAGTAGACGGAGCTGAGGAGTTTGCATAGTGGAGACTAATCATGTCTGCCTTGCACAGTGAATTATAATTGAAAGATAGCTCTCTGGGGGGCCGGCATTGTGGTGTGGAGGAGAAAAGCAGCTGCCCGCATCCCATATAGACATGGGTTCAAGTCCCAGCTGCTCTACTTCTGATCCAATTCTCTGCTTAATGGCCTGGTAAAGCCTCAGAAGATGGCCCACGTCTTTGGGCCCTACAGCCACAGGGGAGAACCT